TATATATATATATATATATATATATATATATATATATATATATATATATATATATAAAGGGAACACTCAGTTTTGTTGAATATTTGCCAAAAATATTTTACAGTTGCTTAAGTTGCAATTTACTCAGTATTATTACGAATATCTTGAAATAACTGTTTCCCTATTACATTACTACTATTATTGCTTCAACTACCACATCATTACATTTTGATTCATTGAATTCATGACCTCATTGAAATAAAAAGAAATATATTAATCATTTTAAACAATTACATTGATATGGACAAAAAAATAATGGAAATATGCTCTACTTTTATTAAATTGTTTCAACTTTTAAAATTATTGGTTATCTTTATAACATTCAAATCATATGTCTTTAATAATTAAGGTTATGTATTGTTAATCTAGAAAAGAGGATAATAGTTATTCTGTACTTTTTTTTGCCTTCTTTGTGAACAATGATATAAGTTACCATGAGAACCAATGCATATTATTTAATAAATAATAGAATAAATATAATTGATAATAACAATAATATTATAGTTAATAACGCGTTCCCATCTGTGAAGAAATAACATCCCTTTACAACTATTACAAATAAAAACACTTAAAGGATTCAACTGTTGTTGTTTTTTTTTAAAACGCTTTATAACTACACTTTATCAGAAATGAATTAACAATAAGACTGTCCTCAAAATGTAATGAATGCATTTTTAAAACGTTTTGTTTATTAACTCATGTATTGAAATAATCTTTTAATAGGTGACTGAAAGTTTCTTTTTTTTTGTCATCATCTTTTTATATGTAACAAGTTTACAGCACTTAAATTTTGTATAGTTTAAGTAAAACGAACTTTGCAAGATCTAGAATCACTTTCATAATACTCAGATATCTTGCTAGAGAGTTAACAGTTTTGATGAATTAGTGCAATCCACACAGGATGAATATATACTAACATGAAACTGATCAATTACAGTCCTAAATAACAATGGGAAGATACAAGTGAAACAACACCAAGTGAATTTAATCATAAATAATATTTAAAACTATTGAATACAAAACGAGTGTATTGTTCTAATTAAAGGATTATTATCTGTATATCCATGATCTCAAAGATATATAATCAAGTTAAGGAGCAGTAAATGATTCATATTGCTGAAGAGTCTACAAATAGAATGAAATTATTTTAGTAATGTATCAAATAATAACTATGAAAAACAAAACCTAGTTTCCGGCCAAAAAAACTGTCTTAACAAAGTTCGCCTGTTAATTTAGAGCAGACTTGTTTCATAGTGAGCACGATACCTAACTCATAATTCAATGACCCCACATTCTCAATATCAAGGGTTTTTTGATATAATGTGATGCACATCTAATATCATCAGTAAGCTAATTTACCACTCTTATTGTGTATGACCCTACAGGGTATGACTTTCATCATAGTTTTCATCAATGGAGTTGATCGAAAATCAAAATATACTTATGTTAGTTTCATAGAGATACTGTACAGTTTATCAGTAATTTTCAACATAAATTGTTGTCTGTTCTAGAACCACTAAAAATCACAAAACATTCAACGTGGAAAACATTACTAAAATCTCAATAAAGCTATCTTAACAATTCACATCCAAACTGGTGCTTTGAAGTTCAAAAGTCTGAGATCTGTGTATTTCCATTTTCTGATGCACTTCTGTACATATCTAATCTTCCTTTGAATGAATGCATTAAAATTCCCGACATCACTTCTCTGGGTATTTAGTTTCAAAAGTTTAGTACATAGTGGGAAAGCCAATATACCTTGACGATTCTGTTCGCACTTCATCTTTAGAATTATCTGTTGTGCTTTTTTATTTGTCTTGACGTAACTAGAATAAAAATAGGATGATATCAGGTCCAAACTTACTTTTTATTATCCTGTACATAGTAATAAAATTACCCTTTAATCTATAATATGATAGTGTAGAAAGCTCTAACTTTTCAAATTGCTCATTATCATCCAAGCACCTTCGGAATTTTATAGGTAGTAAATAATTGGTGAACTGTCTTTTGTAAGAAAAATCTTTCATATACATTACTTTACATTAACATAAGAAGTGTTTAAATTATGTTTGTAGAGGAATAAAATCCTTTTATTTTTGCACAGTTCATATGTATAAAAGTAATTTATTAGCAAATAAAGACTATGTATTTATCATCTTTAATTTACAAAAGATCACTTTACTGATGTCTATCAATTTACTGATTGAAATCATGAGTCAGTTGAAGCTAGGCCACTATGGAAAACCTGGAAGCACTGGACGGCCGTTTCGTCCTAGTATGGGACCCCTCAACAGCGCGCACCCACGATCCCGCACCCCGCGAGATTCGAACCCAGGACCTATCAGTCTCGTACCAGGAGCTTAACCAGCCAGACCATTGAGCCGGCATCCAACGGTGTTGATGTCTATCAATTTAATTAAAGTCAAGTGAAGAATATTTTTGTTTTCATACATATATATTAAAACTAGTTTTATCAAATAGAACAATTAGCGAAACAGTGGATATAAGCATTTGTTACACACATAGATTTTAATCTTTAAATGATAGAATTTTAGAGATCTGATATGATGGGATTAAAAAGGCAAAATTTACATTCTTTTACTCTGAGATTTTTGTTCAACATTACTTTCACACTCAGCTGATGAGTCCCAAATGAGAAAAAAACGTGCGTACTAGGTTCAACTGCTAGCCACTATCCATCTTTACTCATAATGCTTGTGAATTTATTATTATTATTATTATTATTACTGTTGGCTTTATTCAATATTATATTTTTCGTACAATATAGAATTCTCAGCTCAAAGTATTTCAATGAGTTTCTGTTTTTTTTATCTCTTGATCGATACTAACGATAAACAGTGAGTGATCACCAGTTAGATGTTAACAGTTCACGAATCGATATGTGAATAATATTCATTCTTTTCAATCAATATTGCCAGCAACTATAATGTCTCTGATTGGGTTGTTTTATAACTTGTACAGCGAAATGTCAGAAACTTTTCATAAACGCACATGAACAGGTTATGTGAATAAAAGGTATAATGATGTGTTGAAAGAAACAAGGGAATAGATAACTTGTTGAAATATCTAGATGGAAGGAACAGGTAGCCCAGATATTCAAGCAGGTCGCCTTGGTTATTTCTATTAAGGTAATATCGAAGCAATACACACAGTATACATATATGCCAATAAGAAACTGATGAATTGCATTCCTAAACATCAATGGAAAGATTCAAGCAAACAATACTAAGTGAATTTTATACGATATTCTTGTATTAAATTAGCATGAGCTGTGACATGTGGCATGCGATTTGTTAAAACGCTGAGTATTTCCCATATATATGATTTCATCCTAATTATTAATCCAAGTAGGTATATAAATCAATATATAAATGAGTGTATTTTGGACTAGAGTCGTCGTCATGTTTTAAGGGTTAATAAGTCTTCACTTGTACCAATCTTGGTTTTCTTACCTTCGTGTCCTGAGAATCGCAGTGGTCTCGCATTTTTACGAGTATAAGTAATAAGCGATTTCGACATAACAATTAGAAACGACCAGATATAACAATTGGTGCCGCATTCATAAAAGATCAAAGCTGTGAGATATTGAACATTCTGTTTTTAATAAATACAATGTGTGCGTGTGCAAAATTTAGAAACTTGTATTTATTGTCAGTGAATCGTAATTTAAATAAATTACTTTTATGATGACTCAGAAGATTATTTATATGAATTGATGCATAATAGTCAAATCTTCATGACCTATAAAGCACTAATTCATATAAAAGCATATATTTTATAATGACTAAATAAATATAATGACAAGAGATCAAATTGTGAATAACCTTCCATAGATTTAGCTTAAAATCTTCGACTGACCGTCAGATAATTTGTAATTACAATCTGATACTCATCAACATATGCTCACTAGTGATTGACTTCAAGAGGTATTTACTAGAGTTCTAATGAGAAGCAGTGGCCAATGAAATTCAACCGGATCTGTTGTGAGATAGTAACTCACTGATGACAATGGTGGATTTATCTCTCAATCTCGTGGATTAGTTGAATTTAGACATTACCACCGTTGGATACCGACTCAGTCGTCTAGAAGTTAAGCGTTCACACACAAGACCGATAGTCTCCTGGGTTCAATATCTCATGTGGCAGGATCGTGAATGCACATTGTTGAGTAGTCCCACAATAGGATGAAGCGGTCATCCAGTTTTTCCAGGTATGACTTATGATCTCAACTATTAAACTTATGAAAATTAGTTATACAATTTTGTTTCTGCATATATTTTGTTTTGATTATTATTTAACTTATATTTCTTATTTATATTTACTATTATTCAAACGAATTATCATTTACACTCATTGGTAATTTGTTAGATAAGAAAATGTATTCATTGTTAACATTAATTTAAAATTATATTCATACTAGGACGAAACGGCCGTCCAGTGCTTCCAGATTTTCCATGGTTGTCTAGCTTCAATTGACTCATGATTTCAACCAGTGAAATTTCTAAAATCTCCACAAAACCCATTCTGATATTCATTTATTTGTTTACTTTTTAGTACTTCCTAATGTAATGGTTAGTATTTTACTCTTTATTTGATATATTTTTATTTATTTATTCATAATTGAATTGTATTACAATAAGAGCATGTATATTATTCTATTGTTCATTAATAATGACCCCATGTATATTTAGACTAATAGAATAATTAATGATAGAAAAGACAATTACATTAATTTAATTAATTTGACAAATTTCCTTTCTTTTTGTTTGTTTGTTTGTTGTTTTTCTTTTCCTTAAAAAGAAAAAAAAATAGTTCAATGTATCCAATAGATTATTAGTTGATTGTTTGTTTGCTTGTTTTCTTTTCTTTTCTTTTTTTTTATTCATTCAGTGATTGGTTCAATTATTGTATAAATAAGTGAAGTATAGTAGTATTATTTTAATTTACTAAAATTTTATTACAAGTGAGAAATTTTCATATACTTATCTTATTTACTTTTCTAAAAATAGAAATAATCTTTTCTTTTTGAAGGTAACGTTTGACAAAATAAACTTTTTTTATGTATATATTTATTTGTATTCTTTATAGAATTTAGTTGCTATGTAAAATTTTATCTTATATTTTTGATAATATTACTTTTAGATGGATTTAACAAGAAGTTCATTATTAATTGTCAGTTTATTTATCCAGATTGTATATGTTAAATCACAATCGAATTGTACTCTTAACAATCTTATCGAGTGTTGCAGTAGTGAAGGTGGAAAACAAGCGCTAACTTGTAAGTAATTTTGTTAATATATAGCTGTTTCGTAACGAGAAAGATGCATATATATACTACTTACGCCTCCTACCCCTTCTGGAGGAATATAGGCCGACAACTAGCACTCTCCATTCTACCCTGTCATGGGCAATCCTTTCCAGTTCTTTCCACTTGGTATTCATTCTTTTCACATCTGCTTCTATTTATTTACATAATGTGTTCTTTGGCCTTCCTCTTTTCCTCTTCCCTTCAGGATTCCAAGTTAGGGCTTGCCTTGTGATGCAGTTTGGTGATTTCCGTAATGTATGTGTATCCACTTTGAGCATCTTTCCGTAATTTCCTCTTCAGTTAGAAATTGGTCTGTTCTCTACAAATACATATACAACAGTAATCATTGTGTCATAGTGTAAGTCTCATATTTCGTTCCAATCACCCACATATACACAATGATATATAAAACAATTACATGCAATCATCTTTACTAGCTATAACAAAGGCTTATATAAGTTTATCTCCATATGAAATCATTTTTTTAAAATTGGATCTATTTCTTTTATCATTTACATTCATATTATTCTTTGAAGAAGTGCTTTATTCTAAATTTCAAAACACCAGAATATTATTTTTCTACAAACAACCTAATGAACAGCTTATTTCTTTAATATCATTAAGTCGAATCATGGTAATGATATCTAAATTATTGATCGCTTTCTTTTATCCCTGTTAAAATGTACTTAAGTTTTATAACTAAAAACTTTATGAATTACTTGAAATAATAATGATAGCGAGTCGAAATACGGGGACGTCATATCACTTCATAAATACCTTTCTTTATATTCATCAGTTATTGAATACAAAACTACACCAATAACAAACAGTAATCAACTTTTTGATTTGAAATTATCAAGTTTAATAGTTTCCCAATATATCCGTTATGGAATTCATTTCAATTCATTTATTATTATCATAATTATAAGCTTTGTTCAATATTTTTGGTACAATATAAAATTCTCAGCACAAAGTATTTCAACAAGTTTCCGTTTGTTAATTCTTGGTCGATCCTGACGATAAATATTGAGTGATCGCCAGTTAGATGTTAGCAGTTCAGTAAATGAACATCTGAATAATGTATATTCTTTTCGCTTCATTTTGCCAGCGACCACATTATCTCTTATTGGGCTTTTTGTAACTTTGACAACGAAATGTTGTACACTTTTCAGAAATGCACCAAGATAGCTTATGCGATTAATAGACATAATGATATATTAAAACAAACAAAAATAGATAACTTGTTGAAATATTTAGATGGCAGGAACAGGTAGCCCAGATGCTCAAGCAGGCCGCCTCAAGTAACAAGAATACTTGGTATGAATTCATTAACTTGATTGTTTTAGTATTCCATTGTTTTCTTATATAACTTTTATGTTACAACATTATCTTAGTGTATATATATTTCACTTAATCTCTTCCACTATTTTTATGTTTACATATCTGAAAGAAAACACTAACAATAAATAATTAAAGTGAGGTTTCCTTTCAATAAACTATCTTTATTCAGAAATGTGAACAATTTGGTTAAAACAAATTTCCAGTTTTAGTTATTTTTCATCTGTTTTTTTCTCCTTTACATATTATCATAGTTATTCAAAGTCAACCTATTGGAATTAATACTGAACAAGTCGTAAAATACTATACGGATTTGTGCAAGTTTCGTACGTTGTATGAACAGGCATCATTTATTAAGGCACAATATGATAAATTATCAACTGCTGATTTAACTACTATGTTTACTACACCTAAACCTACACAAAAATCTACTATTACACCCAGAACTACACAGAAACCTACTATAATTACACAGAGACCTACTATAACTACACAGAGACCTACTATAACTACACAGAGACCTACTATAACTACACAGAAACCTACTTATACTATACTTAGAACTACAGAAAAATCTACTACACAAATAATGAACAAAACTAATGCTCCATAAGTGTTCGAATCTTCACTGGGAATAAATTTGAACAATGTCAGGAGTAAAACAAAACAAACAAAAAAATAACCCAGTTCATAACTGTAGCAATGTAGACAATTAATTAGTAAATACAAATATATAAATTACATGAATACTTTATTACTTATACACTTATTAATCAATTTTTTGTTATTAGAATATGATGGGTTCTATTAGAAGAAATTTAATAACTGACTATTAATATACAAAGTAATGTTTAAGATGAATAGGCTTAACTACTTTTTAGCGCATTACTATATTAAGTACGCAAATCTAGTGATGAAAGTACATTATTCAGAACGTTTCATATGGATCGACAATATTTCTCTGAATTGTTAACAATCAGTAATTAAGCATATATAAACTTTACTAGAATAGTTTCTGTCTGCTTAATCAAGTTCAACTACTTGTAATGACTTCAGGCTTAGACGATATTATCTTCTTCGGAGTAAACATAACAAGTAACAAATTTAAAATGTATAGCCCATATCATTTGGAAAAAAATACTTTCATTCCATATTTGGAAAAACAACATTCAGTATTTTTCTCTAGATGATGAGTTGTTCCTAAGGAATCTGTTTATAAATGTGTGACTCTTTAGGAGTCTTAGATTTTGGAAATGTCTGTTTCAGACTTAAAAAGAAGAATTATCTTTGACTTGAGACCAGTTGTGGATATATAATTAATAGTGAATATTAACGAGATTTCAAAGGATAGGTTAGTACCTGACGAACTTAATAAAAAGGTTAACCGATAAGGATTACTGGCAGAGCATAGTTGACTTTGAATACCATCAATCAATCTTCCAGTTGTCTACCCTACTGAATCAGATGTCCCAGGGAATACGACTTTTTAATCAATTCTAATCACAGAGACTTAGAACAAGCTTTTACTCAAATTCAGTTAAAACAGCTTATAAAACTCATATCCAACCATCTACTGAATAATGTGCGTCTTTTTAGCTTGCAGATATGTCGCCGTTTCATTTATTCATTTCAATTATCCCCGTAATTAATCAGTGTTGATATCTATAGTGATTTCTATCGTTTATTGTTCAAGAGAATTACCTACAATTATTTTATGCATATTATTACCACTCCTAGTTGAAATAAACCTTTAGACTGCAGAAAGTCCAGAAACTTGAATTAAAGCAATTACTTGTCATACAATCACTGCATTATGTTGAACACTTATGCAAATAACAAAGTACACAAACGTTTTATGAGTTTTTTCAACTCTAATGTTAGTAAAGTTGAATCATTACAGCTCCCTGGCTTAGTACCATTTCGTATTGCTAAATATAATCTCTTTCACAATAGTAATAGTTTTTGAATAGTGATGTATGGCTAATAGGTTTTTTGAATGTTAGTCTTGTTAGTATTTACTATTAGATTGTTATTATTGGTAAAGTAAAGAAACATTAAAATACTCGCATAACCAGTATGAACTTCTTTGCTGGCTTTTACAATTTATTTTTTTTAATTCCAATTTATTCCTTAAAAAATACTAAGGGAACACCTTCATCCAAAAACAGCTAAATATTTTGTTACATCCCTGAAATTTATTGAAACTTCCAAGTCTAGATTATTGCGCTGATTCCGAACAAGTAAAATGCTTTCAAAATAATCTCGTCCAATCGATCTCAGTGGTTTCTGGCAATGAATGTTTTCTGTATATACTTTATCTTATAACTCATATACACACTTCATACTTTGACGAGCTCCGAAAAATGGTACCGTAAGAAATTTGTCAGTTTTTGCAAACTCGTTTTATCGTTCAAGTTTCAACTGGTAATTTCCTAAAAGTAATGGCATTACTTCATTTTAGCTATTCATTAACACTTACTTCCTAATCTGGTAATCAACTCTCAAACATGAACCGTTGATGTAGCTTTTAAGGGGCTGGTTTTTACAAATGTTAACGATACTGCTACCAAGAAGAGAACATTATGTACTTAGATGGAATAGTAAATGTGCAAGACGACCGAACTTAGTGATTGTGATATAGAATATCTGGTTAAGTGTGAAGTACGTATAAGTAGCTCGACACATATGATGTGATATCAAAACTGTGCTGGTACTTGACTGAGTACCTCTATCTACTTTACTCATTTAAGACAAATAAGGTCAAACCGAAGTGTTAGATACTTATAGAATTACTTATATCATAAGTTTCTAGAAAGTTTGTCTATCACTGAAGCTAAATCTAATTCAAATCCGGCAAGAGATCGAGTGCTCTATTTACTCAATGATGCTAATCTAAATGTTTGATTTAATTTAATTTACGGAATCTCATTTAAAACTCCGAGTTTCATAGATATTCTTTTAAAGGAGTCAACAATATAAATTACTACTATAATTTTCGAGTTCATTTTAGTTGGTAAAATGCTGACATTTACGTATGTATTAAGTACTTGGACAGGATATGGTTTCCGTCATTTCTAGAAATGTATGATTTGAAATATTATGAAGAATTTTTAATCAAGAAATTTGAGAGATGGGTGTTGGCTCAGTTATCTAGAGGTTAAGTGTTCGCAAGTGAGATTGAAGGCCATGGGTTAGAATCCCACTAGCAGGATTGTGAATGCGCACTGCTGAGGAGTCCTACAATAGGACGAAGTGGCCGTCAAGTGCTTCCAGGTTTTCAATGATGGTCTAACATGATCGCAATCAAAAATTTGAGAGAATTGAACTCTATAGCTGATCATCTTTATTCTCAAAGATATGCCATTACATAATTACTACTGTGAAAATTTTATAATTTTTCGATTGATACTAACCACATACAATCGTCTACAATTAATTTAATGAAATCTGTTTAACTTTCTCTGATTTTTTCGACATTATACAATTGGGACCAATACTTAACTATTATCTACACAACTTGAGAAGTAAATGAAAGTAGCATAGCGAAAGCTGGTTAGTACCTACATTTGTAGTGAACGAGAACACAAATGGAGACAATCGAATGTATTTGAATGCAAAATTACAGAACATCTTAGTAAAATCTGAGAACCATACAGTAAATACTTTATTTACAAAATGTCAGTCAATCGTCTCAGACTTCATTGGTCTTTCGTTTCCACAACAATGATTCTTTGCTCGCGTTCTCTTTTCTTTCATCTTCCCAACCTTCTGCCTCCAGGCGATTCACTTCCGATTGATGATGCATACTACTTATATCTGTTGACATCAGTATCACACACTAAACATTTACTAAGAAGGACTACCTGAATTTCCCTTTTCACTTATTAAACATCAATGATTGAAGGAATTAATACAGTGTTAATACATGTTTCTGACCAACAATTTTCTTTACAAAACTTATGAGATTACATTTCATATGGTCAAAAACGTCCAGTTACTACTGTCAAGAGACTTGTTAGTTAGTGTTTAGATTTACTTTAGACTGTCCAATACGTTTTCATTCATGTTGAATAAAAGTCGATCTCAATAAGATCAATAGGAATATAATTTTACAAATTAACTGATCGGGAGAGAATGGAATTTTGTGGTTCATCTTAAGACATTCTCTATCAAAACTAGAATGTGGTTAGTATTTCAAAGAATTTCTTGTTATATTTCATTCCGTTTGATTTTAGATATCTGGATTCCATCAGCTCTTGTCCTTGCTTTTATACTAGTCATTCGCTTATGCTAACAATTCATTTCAACCTACTACATTTGATAGAACTATCAACATCTCATCCTAGTCTACATTTCTAGATACGAATTACGATATTCTTTATATTATTTTCATCAAGATATGTGATCATTTATGACTATTGGTCATAATAATCATCACAGTTATAGAAGTAAAAATAAAAAATAGTTTATCATATTTATTTGTTAAAATACAGGCTACTTTACTTTTGTAAGTAGTATAACGCAAAACAGTTTTTTCACCATTTAGAACAGAAAAATAAAATTATAGTCGAATGTGACTTCGTTAAACACTACTGCGTTCCCACATATGCGATAAATAGTTAAACAATTTTTTTAAACTGAACCACCTTTATTGTTACTTGGATTCCTTGGATAGATTATTCGATTTCGCTTTAGATACTTCTTGTGTTAAATCTTTCTCCCTAATACCTAAGTACATTCAGATAAGAGTTCAAAATTGCATAAAACATCTGAACTAGATTCCATTTACTGATTGGCATCAAATATAAACACATTTAGATATTCACTTCATATGAAAGGCCAATACCTCAGTTTTTTAATTATATAACAATTCAAACATACGTTATCTATAAATCAAAATTATAATATACCAGACTGAAATTTAATTATTCATATTATTCTTCTGAATTCGTCTGTGAAAGACAAATTATCTCATTATCTTTCGTTCTTCAGTAATTCAGTAACGGCCAACTAGTCCACAACACTTGATATGTATTATTTGTATGCTTGCCTGCTTGAATATCTGGGCTACCTGTTTCTGCCATCTAATTATTTCAACAAGTTATCTGGGTTTTTTATTTTGTTTTAACGTCTATTTATGTCCATTATTTACATAACCTATACAGGAGCGTTTATGAAAAGCCTACAGCATTTCGCTGCACAAGTTAAAAAAAGTACCATAAAAGACATCGTGATGGTTGGCAACATGCGTTAAAGAGAATGAATATCAATCGTATGTCGATTCCCGAGATGTTAAATTCTAACTGCCGATCACTAATCAACAAAGTGGACTATCTTCAATTCCTACTAAGTCAAAATATGTATCGTAATTGTGGTGTCATCACAATTCAAGAATCGTGGTTAAATGATTTACAGGACGACTGACTAGTATCACTACATGATTTCGACATTTATCGTCAGTATCGATCAAACAATAAAAATAGGTGTAACTACGTTTGTAAACGTGAACTGGTATCGATCTTCGTTTGTGTGTTTCAAATTTTCAAATGACTTCATCGACTGTCTAACTTTAAGATGTCGTCCAAAACATCTGAATAAATACAAATATGTTTATGTTACCAAAATCTACGTGACTCCAGACTGCACACCATCTGTGCTATCTGTTTTCGCTGATGAATTCACTGAGTTCACTGTTACTGCCTTCAGTGATTCACTTTCAGTTGTATGTGGTGATTACAGTTCATGTGACTGTAGCTTCCTTACGTCACTAGGT